GACACCAAGTAAGGAACCATTATTCCATTTCCTGACAAAATAACCTAACATGTTCTAGCGGTGGCCGTACGGGCAACTGCTGGGGTGCACCTGACGGTCTTGGATGCGGTGTCTTTGTTGCGGGTCCTGGAGGGTGCACTAGAACCACCGAGCAGATGAAAGCAGCATTCAACAACATCAGGGCCCATGACTGTAAGATATGCGGCACTGTTACGGACGATGATAATGGCAACGACAATTGTCAGATCAAAATTGACTACGTCACGGGATGCAACAATCACAATTAAGGACCTGTCATTACTCTAGCTGTTGCTAGCTTGGGGTTCGGTGGATGAAGGACGTCGAATGCGGGAAGCCCCAGCACTGAATATTTTGTTAAGGGCCGGCTATTCAAGGGAGTGTTTGAGCAGAGATAAACAGGTTATGTCATCACTGTACATATAATATTACATTGAATATAGCCTCATTTTTGTTGTACAAGTAGTTGATTGACATGAGTTTCTGTTTGGGCTATCGACGAGAAAGATTGACTTAGTACCACTTACCACAGCAAGTTCTCTCTTTCCAGGTCATAGACAGTCTAAAACAATATCATCTGTAAATCTACCGCGAAACAATATATATTGATTAGCCACCCATAGCAATATTCTTCTCGTCATTTCGGGGTAGTGGACAATTCATGATTGCTCACCAGCCTAACAGGAAGCCTGTCTGTAGTGTCAGGATACCCCTAGATTGGTCCGCCCAATTAGTTCCTTCCCACGTAACAACATTGCTGCCATATGGGAGCTAAATTTCAAGCCCGTAGATTTGAGCACAGCTGAAGTACCGGTAAGGCAACATTAGGCATATTACACAGACTACCCTCTGTGACAGCAGCAAGCTATCACCACACTACTGTACTTAGACGGTATAGCTTCTGGATTCCGAGCCTTAATACTTGGTTCTCATAATAGGACCAGAAAGCTACACTTTTGATGTGTTATTACTCTAGCCAACCTCCACAATTACACTGGGACTAGTGCTAGTTGACACAGTGGTCATATCTACTAGGCCTCGCCATAACACTTATAACAGTTTATAAGGGGAGGGGCTACCGCCACACCAGCCAGGCTTCCTCCACACCGGCCTTCGCTCATGTCACATCCTCCGCCTACCTTATAAAGTAAAGTCTGTTCCATTTATGGTATAGCCACTTTGGAATGTATCACTGCCTTCCTAATATAGTAGTCTACTCGCCTGAGGTACTTAACTCGTGCCTTAGGAATGAAACCCCTAAAATAGCAAGCGGTAGGGTTATGAAACTGGGCCTTACCCTAAATGGATACAGCCTTACCTCATAATCCAGGTGGAGGGTGTGGCATGAGCGAAGGCCGGTGTGGAGGAAGCCTGGCTGGTGTGGCGGTAGCGCCTCCCTTTATAAGTTAGATTGATCCTCAAAGAGTTGCTTGAAGATAAACAATCAAGAGTAATACCTTACCAGCATTTACATGAAGCGTTGTGTGCGATTAAGAAATATTAGGTGCTGAATCTATATTAGAAGGTGGATATAGGTCATATGCGTTCATGAAGAAATATGGTAATGAAAGTAAAGTATAGATTACTAATAGTATTGGAGAATAATACCTCCGTACATACTAATATTCTTTGAGATTTTCCCTAGTCTTCTAGTCTAGCTCTCATCTACTCTCAAGCTTACGGAATATCTAAAGGATTGTAGTCCTTTTCAAAGAAAAAAACAAATTAGGCTATATTTCTCACAGTATTTTCCCTAGGCTTTCTTACTAATTTAAATTATCTTATTAATATTAGAGAGGAGAGTCATGTTCGATTTCCTCTATCAGAGTCTTGTCTTGAAAGATGATAAAGAGACTTACTACAGCTTTATTTAGTAAATAGCGTCAGCGGTCCTGTGTTAGAGTAGAATAAGTTATATATCAGGAATATATCCGGTATACCCTTTTCCGACTTCCCGCAATCTATTTCAACCTACGACGGCGTCTCTCAACTACTTGTTCTTAGGAATCTCACACTGGACAATTATAATTTAATAATCTAATAAAGTATTAGTAATCTCATGCATATAACTAAGTATCTATATTAAGTATTATATCCATTTCTTCTGATTGTTATATTGAGAGAAAGTTTTAGAAAATATAAAAATACTAATCTTTATATAAAGAGAAATCCTCTGTTATATACAGTCTAAGTTAACTATATAAATATCCTGAAATTATTACTTAGAAAAGCTAGAGCAGGCCAGTCAGTATTATCAGTGTAGTTGCGCTTGATTCTGTATTAGATACTGTGCCAGAATAATGGACTCCTGAGACTGTCTGGCTGTTTTTATACTATAGGTAGGGTTTTAACAGTAATAATAAACTTTATTATATTATTTATAAAGACCACCATGCTAAATTATAATCTTTGTTTGAGTACAACCTTAATCTCCAGATATGTAATTTATTATCTCTACTTACTATAAGTTAAGATAACTAGTAAAAAACAGCAAAACAATATGCTTAAAGTCTTAATATATAAGCTATATTTCTAGTTAGACTCACCTTAGGAACGTGAATATAATATGATCAGTTTTATTATATTATATAAGTAACTAGACATTCTGAGACTATTATTTTATAAAGACTTCCTTTCCTAGACATAAGACTTAGATTTAGTAAGAAAATAAGACTAGAGTAGTGGTGGCAATTACGCATTCTTTCTTTACCTAAATGCTTTTCTTCAACATCTCTACGATCTTCTTCACAACACCGCCTCAGTTTCGATTGTCCTCAGCGTTGAATGCGTGGATTGCACTTCATAGTTCATAAAAAACAAACCCTCTACCTACCTATTACCTGCTGTGATGGGGTCTCATCTACCTGTTTAGGCATAAGTCAAATACAATCTTTCCACTCGCATGGCCAGTCGCCAGCCTTCCAAACGCTGGCCGAAACTGCTCCAACGGCCACACGCTATCCACCCTTCCCTTACACAGTCCCAATTCAATCAACTCACTGACCGCCCCCAGTTGATTGCCACTTGGTTGCATTACAAAGAATATATCCCTGACACCCCTTGTGCTCGGACTCTTCCATGGACAGACAGTTCTAGGAGGCTGGAAAATACTTACTACCGTGCCTCCCTCCTTCACAGTCCACCAAGCATCCTGGAGTGCTCGTCCTCCTATACAGTCAACCACCACATCCACCAGCCTTCCTTCCTCCTCCTCTACCCAGTCCTTCAGGTCAGTGGCTCGGTAATTCACAGCATCCTTGGCCCCCATGGATCGTACTAGATCGATGTTGTCGGGTCCACATGTTCCGATCACCTCGACGCCCAGCACCTTCGCTGCAAGCTGCACAACCCACAGCCCTACGCCACCAGATGCAGCTGTGACGAGTATTCTTTTGTTTTTCCATGCCGATCGCGCTTTGGGTATATCCATCACGCCCTCGGGAGGGACCACCCCGGCGTAAATAAAGAGAATCTGCCAAGCAGTCTGGGCTGATACTGGCACCGCAGCAGCCTCGACCCAGCTCAAGCGCTTTGGCTTAAAGGCGAGCTCGTCTGCAGTCGCGATTGTAAAATCACGAGCGTTGCCAGGTCTGACATAACTTGTACGAGCATATATCTCAGCCCCGGGTTGGAAAGGGGAATCTGGGGGCGCAGAGACAACGGTACCGGAGACATCGGGACATGGGATTAGAAGGCGATCAGTGGACGGAGGAAAGTTTTTCGGCCAGGAAAGCTCTCCGGCGCAAGGGGAGCATGCCTGGACATGAATTAAGTGCTCGCCTTTCGTTGGGTTGGGATTGGCAACTACGTCGGTTTGGAGGGTTAGATCATCCGCAATAGATTCAGCGGTTGGCTGAATCAGAGCACGTGCGGTTTCAACAGGCATGACAATTCCAAAGCCGTGATTGTTCTCTGTTAAATTCAGATTGGGAGAAAGGGTAGATGCATATTCCAATATCACATTAGATTGGTGATCAGAGGGGTGTTATATATCCATGAGGTATGATCTCGGCCCTCGTATTCAGCAGGGGTAGACCCTCGGGTTCCCGCAGCGCTTCGATCGGATTGGCCGCCATCATTGGAACCTTCGATCTAGACGAGCGATTTCTCGTATTCAATTCCACGATGCCTGGTAGGGTAGAACTCTAGTAATGATGATGAAATATGCCTTTATTCGATCTCAACCAAATTTCTGGCTACTATTGTGCAAGATTAACAGCCAATTAAGTCGTCCTCCATGTGTGGCAATACCTCTCATCTGTGACTTAGCCGTGGTAAGATGAAGGGGATATATATCAGCTATTTGAGATAACGAAATCGATACCTGTGCGAATCGGCAAGACTGTTTCCACGCCCCTTTAACAGTGCCAAGACATCCATAGTCAGGCACGTAAAATGGACGCAAATAATCCCTAAACAGCCATGTGTCAGCCTTCCATTGTTTGCATCTCTGTCTGTGCATAGTGGCTTGGTCGGAGTGACCCATTCAACCAGCAGCTCTGCCAAGTCCCAGGAATAATACACTTAATCTTTACAAAAGAATGACATCAAGGCTACTCACATAGGTAGTCTGCAAATAGCCCCTGCTAGACATCATAATAAAGAAACTCTAGGAGAAGGAACCAGAGATTTACCATGGGATATCTATTAATTAGTTCCTATGGCGCAAACCCAATATTATATCCGATGAAAAAGTTTGCTGTGGAGATATTATTGATAATGCGAGGAACCAAGGAGCACCTTACCATGGAGCTCCGTATGTAGGAGAACATGGTGGACAGTACGCGTGCGTTTGCTACTTCCTGATCCTGTAGTATATATAGATACATATTGTTTGGCAGAAAGCTTCACCGCATCACAGGCAGATAGTACTTAAATGTCGACTCCCTTCAAGATTATCTGGGCCGAAGTTTATTGCCGTTGAATAGTTCGCTGAAATGTAACACTGAGAAGACCCAACAGAAACCACTAACAAGGCACTGTTACCAGCATGTCATTGACCAGAGCTCGACTGGCTGGAATACCATCAACTTAGTTGGTCGAGCATCATATATATTCACATATGAGTTGCTATCGCTGCTTGGGTAAAGAGCCCGAGTCACAACGTAGATAATGGAGGGTAGCCAGATTTCATGAATATTACATAGCAATATCCCCATGGTGTTCGCGAAGAAGAACACCTTGTAAGTCTTTATGTTAACTTAAATGAACAAACAAAGCCCTGCCCTACAATCATAAGAGATCTATCCCTGTAGGAGCGAGATAAAGGCAACTCACAAGGTTGGGCTTATGTTCACACAGCCTGATTGGTCCGGCCAGGTACATGTTTGGGCATCAAAGCTAAACCATAACCCTTCATCGCAGGTATAAACTGTAGCGGTGCCGGCATAATCGGTGTCGCATTTTATCCATCTTGTGCAATCACCAGGATATGGCATGTTAGCCACTTCTTGAGTTGCTGTCGCGCATACTACATCTGCGATAGGGCCGGCAGGGATGCCTGAAGCATGGTCCTGGGCGTTTGCAGGGAGGCAGACGAGTGCTGTAATAATGGGGAGAAGGGCGTAGTACATCACGTCCCAAGACACCGGAGATGAGGACGGCTAATTGTAATTTAATTTAAATTGCCCGGAAGGAAGTATTGATGGCTTTTATATGAAGAGCATTACTCATGAAAAAAACAATAATGTGTTTGGGGTCGGGCTTCTAAACGGCATCCGGCCATTGCCTTGCCGCCACTGGCTATTAGTGTCCCATGTAGGCATGCTTACTGGATGAAAGAATCATATGCCCAGGCGCTAGCTCACGAATTATTCCTCCCTTGCATAATGATGCTCTTAGCGCAATCCAATTATTAGGAAATCTTTTCATTATATGTTCGACTGATGAGAAGCCGGTAACAAGAAGGTAGTAAGTTTATATGGAGGAGAATATTTGGAGATATCGAAGTGCTGTTTCGTTTTCTCCTCATTGTTTGATTAGCTCCCATTCGCTGGAATTGAGCAGTGCTTGGAGAGTAATATCTGTATTAAGAGTTCATGTGCATCCTCAGGATTTGAAGTTTGTACTAATGGCGATGGTACTCTGGCAACCGGAGTGAATCATTCTCCGGTCACTCAGACGACTACCAATGCTTGCAGTGCCAAGCAGAGATGCTGATCACACCCAAAAATATTTTCAAAACCGCCCTTCCATCGACTGGAGGTTGAGGAAATAGAGAAGCAAGAAAGATACCTACATCCATACTTACTATCAAAAAAAAATTTGCACTCGATAATGATTGGAGATAGTGACCGGAGTTAGTCTCAACATCATACTTAGTTGGTTAAGCCAGGCTCCTTGAGATGACTCATCCCGATCTGGATGATTAACGTTGATGTTGAGGGGCGAAAATACGTGTAAAGCAACGAAACAACGAAAAGGCAAGCGAATAAGCGCGAATTGCAGCAAAAGAGTGTGTACTACGTAGAATTCCAGCTAACTAGGCGCTCTAGCAAAACAAAGCAAGAGGTCGTTTGTGGGCGGCCTGAGAGCCAGGCACGTGACTACGCCTACATTTCGGCAGTTGCTAGTTCATTAGCCGATCGACACATTCATATCAGTACAATCCTAGTTTGTAGGCACCAGGTGGGGAAATTACATTACTGACAAGAAGACAAAGAGAAACATTCTTCGGTATCAAAATCATAAAGTAAGCGCAATATTGATAACATGTCAGACTATCCTGCAAATCTACTTCACTGTCAACTGTGGAAACATAGAGTGCACAACATTGATATTTGTACAACAACTAGCTTAGGTAGCACGATCAAATAAATGCGTAGACTTCTCATATCTCAGGGAGACAATCATACATGAGCTGTTTATTATAACGAGAAATAGAACGATCGGTGCCCTAATCCACAATTTTAGACCTCCGGTGTCAGTAGAGATAAGTATCCTATGCTACTCTGCGAGACTATTCTCCAAAGCCCAGCTGAGAAGTATGCATTATTATGTTGTAGGTGGACCAACATACCTAACTCCCAATACCAGAATAAGTATTACAGGAGCAGGAAGCAAGCCTAGAAATCTCTGAGGTATCATCTGGCATGTGCGAGCGCAGCAGCGCTAAAAGTGCATATCCCATATACTCTAACCCGCACGGTCATTATGCTAAGGTCTAGCAGTCCTTGACAGAAGCTCAGACAGACCCGATATCACCTTATGGTAGCCTCTGCCGCGGAGTTAGTCTCTTGTACAGCAGGAGGGGGCATATTATGTATACTAGGTTTTTATCGAAGTTGATATATATGGCAGAGGCTTTGCTGTGTTCATACTGTAGCCTCTCATTGGGCCCTGACTTCTTGCGCTGTATCTCTAATCATTTAACCTCTTCGAGAGGGCCAGTTGAAATGTTCCATGGCCTGACGTATACCAATCCTGTGTAGCTTTCTTTGGGCTACACTGGACAGTAGCAGTAATCACTCTAGCAATCATCTCCGACCTCAGACAACAAACTTAGTACTCAGTCGACATCAGGTTTTTTTGGCCAGGAGGCACGCCATGTTTTGGTTCTTTTGCTTCGGCCCCTGACAGGGAAACGCCGGAAATCTTTCCCAAGTACCCACCCGGCCGCATCCCCACTTGCCGTGTCTCTAATTCCTACCCAATCAACCCGTTAGACATTGCCGTTCTCCTTTCTAGTGCACAAAGCCCAGGCCCCAGCCTGTTTTAATTTGTTCCTAACACAAGTAGGAACATTCTAGATGCTAACATTGTCATGGTGGCTGATGAAATATCAATATCGAGTTTATTGCTCTGGATGCTATCGAAACTTCTTACCTGTGAAAAGGTGTCATAATTAAACCAACAGTCCGTGCTTTCTGCGAAAATCTACACAAAGTCACCACGTAGCACAGCAACGCCCCTGTGAAAAATCATAATACAGCAGTTATTGAAGCATTTCCCTAACTCCAATATCAATCCTAATTATCATTTGAGGCGCAGCTTGCTACTCACAAGGCTGCAACCTTCTTCCACCGCTTATAGTATGCCAAATTATTCCACACCCCGTACACAAAGGCCTTCAGGATCAGAAATGTGGCTCCTAAACATCCCGGTTCTACCATTCCACGATCCCACTGCTTCTTGATCTCCCGTCCGAACAGTGAAGAACCCAGCTCCTGTCCTGTAATACGGATTGCATCCTCTCCGTTGGTGATAACGTAATATACTGGGCCGGAACTATCAATATATATTGAGTACGGACTGTCTATAGCTTGCCAGCGAAGGCGTGCTAGGAATCGTCGAATGATTGCCTTTATGACTCGCCATCCGTGCCCATACTCGAGGAGACCGACGATGCCCGCGTGAAAGGCGAGAAGTTCTTCGAATGAGACAAGCATCTGCTCAGTGGGCGTACCGACGTGGTAGACCCCTGCAGATTCGAATTGGATGGAAAAGGTCTGAGCGTCTCAGCGTCGTTAGCATCGTCATAATAACGGAGTCGTGGTATCTCATAACGGGGAAGAAGATTTTCTGTGCCAGGAGAGTAATTACCATAGTGTAGACGTGGTATGGGTGGTGCGATGAAGTAGTAGTACATTCTGGATAGGATAGCAGTGTTCCAGCAGAGGTTGCTCTGGGTCTGAAACAGATGTTATAAGAATATCAAAGAGCCATACTTCATCGATCTTACCCTGAGCTCTCGTGGCACTCTGACTTCAACTAATCAAATCCCGCTATTGATCTACCCCTATTAAAGAGTGGGGGGTGTTGATAATAGTACTACGAGATGGCTCGGAAAGTTTATTTTTGTGGCATGTCTCACTGCCTGATATATCCTTCAGAAGGCATATGAAGAAGCCATGAAGACCATCAAAAGATTACGTTCTTCTTGGTCATCGTTTAGTGAACTACGTTACTCGGCAACCATCAAAGCTAAACGGCTATTATAAATGTGGCAAAAAGGTTTTCTACAATAAAACATTCTACGACCCAGCGAACACTTTCTATGATACCATATGAAGGAAACTAGTTATTAGACCCACCAACCGTTGCTGCCCAACTTGCAGAAGCTTAGACCAGGGAGGAGCATCAATTAGGGAAACGTATACGAAACGTGAAAGCATGGACTTTAATATATCCTCCTGTTCAACATTTTTCAACATAAACTACTCTGATGATATATTATGCAGCGTAATCATGCTAATCTCACTATCTTTCGAAGCTTGGTGTACCCTTTCCTCCTCACGGAAAGTCTGGGGTCGGGTCCGCTTTCCGTGCCTCCACATCGGATCAGGCACTTACGTAGCCAAGAAATTTGTAGTATTCTGCAAGCACAGTATGGTTACTACCAAGGCGATACACCTGAGAGCATTCCGAAAAGTGTTCATCTGTGGACAACGCGGGGAACATCGGAATGTGGGCATTGGCGGTTCATGATCTTCTGGACTCCTCGTCAGACTATCCTGGTTCAAGTTGCTTCGTAAGTTGGATTGTTGCCGGGTTTTTCTCAATATATTGAGCTATTTAATTGACAACTTGGTACACCAGTTCGGTCAGCGCTTCAGTGTAGCAGTAGCCGTCTCTTTCATAGCCTACCTATCTCGGTTAGTAACTACTTAAGAATTATGATCAGAGCAACCATGGAGTCGTTATTCCTATCTACAGTGGCAGGCCTCGTCTTCGCAGTGGGAGCGTCCCCGATGCTTGCCGCCTCGTCGATTGACCACCACGCTTCGAATTCATTGAAGGGTGACTGTGACCGAGCGTGCATGGCAATTATCGTCGATCAGGTTCTGGCTTCCATGGTAGTGCACAACCCATACACCTTGCCGATGGCTGCAATATATCAGGCTACGGAAAACTCGCACCCCGCAGCGCTCGGGATGATGACCGCCTGGCGAACTGTCACGGAAGCAGGGCCACCTAGTTTGCTCGCAGTCGATACCACACAAGGGTCGGCGTATTTTGCCCTGGACGTCAGCGAAGGCAGCGACACGGAAAGGTCCATCCTCAGGGGCCGAGTCAAGGTCGTCAACCAGGAGATCACCGAGTTGGAACTTTTCATCAATCGCTACCGCGGGGACCACGGCTTCTCCTTCTCGGCAGCTGAGCTCCCCAGCAATTATGAGGCCTTGATGTCACCGCCAGGTAATCGGACAAAGGCGAGTCGGGCAACATTGACAGCTCTGAGTGAAGCCCTGTTTGCTACTTCAAGTAATATGTCCGTGAGGGTCGACGACAACTGCCAGTTTACCGAAATTGGCTGGAAGGTCATCGATACGGGAACATACAACAATGAAACCACCACCCCGCTCAGTTGCAGCTGGCCTTCAGATCATCCAACAGATGAGAATGCGCGTGTCGGTTTAGTCATTGACGAAGAGTTGGGCTTTGTCGTAACTAGCGGCATGATCCAGGGCAAGGTCTACCCTTACCAAAACGTCTCGGCCTTCATCCCGGACGCCATGACTTCCTCGCAGGAGACCCAAGATGTGTGGTTGAACGAGGTGAAAGCACTGGGTGTCAAAGGGCTTCTGGCACCCACTGAGGCAACAGGGGAGACCCTTGAGGTGCTACAATACTACAACAATGCGCTCCAAGCCATGCAGATTAATGTGTACATGAGCGGTCCAAATATGACATCGGCCTGGCTATAGTATTTTTCATGGTATGAGGGAACATAAATCATGGTCAGCATACTGAGGTATGTGAGGGAGCTGATCCGGGATTATACTTTATATTTGTTTGCTAGCTGAGCTAAGTACTTAGTCGGCGCGAGATATGGTGTCTAATGTCGTCGAGGTCTTTTTCTTCAGCTCACATTCGCTTTCCTTTAGCTTTGGTACTTAGGGACGTAATCAGTCACCGACCAGGTGCGGGCCCTTGATCCCTTTACCAAGTTGAGCACAGTATATCAATCTCTATCTTCCGGTCATCGTGAAAGTCAATAGACGCACTGGGGGCGCTTTGTGGGGCCTGATCTCGTAAGTTTGCCCCCTCAATCCTTCTTCAAGACACGCACCATCCTCCACAGAACTCCTTCCTATTCTTCCAGGACTTCTTTTACTTGCTTTGGGAGGTAATAGTTTCTCGCCAGGCCAGGCCAAAGAGACCCATCTAATCTGACTAACCCAAGATTCATGGCCGGACACCCTGTGCTCTGGTTCCGTAAGGTTTGACGCCAAAGGTCCACAAGGCTTTTGGCACGGAGAGCGTGGTCTTTCGTGGGCGCTTGTACAAGCAGTAGCAGTAGGAAATTAGAGACGGTTGCAAATCCGACACGAGACCCTAGCTCGGTCAGTATATCGGCGGCCTGAGTTTTCCACAGACGTTACCCAAAAGGGACGAGACATACATCTATACCAGAAGCTCGACAAGTCACTGGTAGTCATACGCATCACCAGACGAATTACTTTGGCCGCGCAATTATCGGCTGCGCGGAGCACCGCATTTCCCATGCCATTCTCATCGGACATGTCAATGGCCATGGACGGCTCGATCTCTTCGGCGTCGAACAACTGAGCCAGGAGGTCGGTGAATTGGTTCGTAAATTCTGTTGTCTCGAAGTTCTCCTCGAGCAACGGAGGCGGCGCGGCAGAGCGAACCATTGGCCGCAGGAGGGCGCGGAACACAAATACCTCCAGAAGGATGCAGGCAAAACGGAGGCAGTTTGACTGGCAGTATATGCTGTCCAGAGTAGTGGGCTGATGATCGGGCTGACGTACCGATACTGGGGAGTGCGCGTACCACTCCTTGAGCTTCTGTAAAAGGGGACGGGCAATTTCCAGCGTTGCATGAAAATCCAGCGATAATCGCTGCGACGCCTTTAGTGTGCTATGGGGCCAGGGGTTGGTCAGTATGGCATGATTAAACATTAGGGAGACGCTACTGCCACACCAGCTTGGCTTCCTCCACACCAGCCTTCACTGATGCCACACCCTCCGCCTACCTTATAAGGTAAGATCCCATCCATTTAAGCTGATGCTTGGTTTCTATTACAGACAGAACCATACTGCCTTCCACCTTAGAAATTTATATTTGGGGCAGAATTCCAGCAGCTCAGGCAAGTAAACTACCGAAACGGGACGGCGGTAAGATATACCAAAGAGGCTATACCCTAAAGGGAGCGGGTCTTGCCTTCTTAGGTAGGCGGAGGGTGTGGCATGATCGAAGGCTGGTGTGGAGGAAGCCTGGCTGGTGTGGCAGTAGTGTCTCCCTTACATTACAATCGTAGTTGGGAGACCTACAAAAGGGAGCGTTGTAATTCATCAGCGATGCGCGACAACTGAATGAGTTGCTGGAATGGTTGAGCAGTGAGAACGTCGTGTGAAGAGTGTGATGAGGACGGAGGTTCCTGCAGGGCCAGGCGCAGACACTCGGACATCACGAAATCATCATCGCTCAGGTCTGTGGCGTCCCAATTGTCGCTTCCTATGTAAGACGGACGCCCAATAAGCAAGCAACGCCACTTATCTTCGGCGTAGATGGCCCACCAGAGGCGACGACGAATCCTCTTTTCCCATAATGGAAGTCCCATGAGCCGGCAATCCAACTGAAGCCCAAGCGACATGGCAACGCCGACAAGCATGCCCACCAAGGACCAGGTGAAGGCACTATCAGCCACAGCACTTTCGGTGGCGCTGATCGGTCGGTGAAGGTAGAGAATTCCTGCTTGAAGGGTCGAAAGACGGGCAGTGTGGATGTCCCGTAGCAGAAGGTCAAGAACCATGCGCCAGAGCAGATCAGTCGGGGGAGGAGCGTACGCATCGATCAAGCAGAGATAGTTATCAAACTTGGCGAATGGCTGTGCGGATGCGTAGATTGCAGCCAAAAGACACAATGGTGTCCTTTGAAGGATACTCTGGTCGGGCACCGTGCCTGCTGCTGCAAGCCCAAAATGTGACCGCGAAATAATTGGCAGCGTGGGAAAAATAAATTTCATAAAGCTGGAGAGAAAGGCATATCATGTCAACCACAGAGCGCATCAACGGTGGTATTCTCGTCAGCTTACAGCACTACCAATCTCTGGCCACATTCGGGGGGGACAATGTGGTTTAATTGCTCATGTGTGTTCAGTGGGTCTGGCGGAAGCAGCTGAGCCTTGGAAGACTCATAGAGCTGATCCGACGAGACCAAAAAATGGCAGGGAATTTTCTCGTCAAACGGAACGCCCCCTGCGTTCCGGAAGTGCACTTGGTGGAAGGAGAGGAAGCCTCTGTCGTTGAATTTGCAGTGTCTGAGAAGCCATGGGTCAGATTCGGCTGACGCGCCATTGACCTGGTAGGATACACCAGCCAAACCATCAAGTGTCTGGATGGTCTGATGCGTGTGTCTTTCTTTGAAGGCAGAAGGCGTGTGCGGGCGTGTGCCGCCTGGATCTGCAGAGATTCTCACCGTGTCTAGCTCGAAGAAAGGGATATCGACTGCTTGATGCGCAACTGGGGGATCTTCTTGGTCCACCACCAGATCCTCGGTCGCTTGCAAGTTGCTTGTTGCGACCGGTCGGGTTTCTGGTGAAGGTGGTTTCGGCGGCACAGTGCCCTGACGAGAGTGAGGCCGAGGGCGAGGGCGAAGACGAGTAAAGGAACAATACTGACCCGCAGCTAAACAGCGCTGACAGCTGCCATGGTGATCGGCTTCGCAGCGTACTTTTCTCCGTCGGCATCCGTCACATGGGGGGTGTCGTTTTGATCTATAGGGGCGAATGGTAGGAGGTGGCGAGCGAGTGTGGAATTGATGGGGAGTTGTTGGATTCGGAGAATTTGACGCCATGCGACAGTCGGTCGGCCGATGATTTGCAGATTGAAAATGACGTTTTCTTGGAGCAGAACTTTGTAGAAGGTCAGCAACGTCGATAATCGCCGCTGGGGTTTAAAGGGCTACTTAACTAATCCGCCGAAGTCAATTCGACAGCGGCCAAGAACGAGTTGGCCGACAAGTTCGCCGAATGCCTTGTCTGATTCGTTACCCGCCCAAATGACTCCGCCGAATGGGTTTGGCCCGAGTGTCGCCGGAAGGCGCACATTACCACCGCCACTATTATTCCTACTACTACTCCGACTACTATTACGACAGCTTCACGCCGTTGATGCTGTTATTTCAATCGTATGCTCCTCTCATTAATTGTTAATTATACTCCAGTGGGCCAATAGAACGTTAAATACCACCGAAATCTCGCAATATGGTACTTCAATACCCTACCCCCTCCCTCAATCGTCGATCAGCGAAAGGAAATCATTGAACCGGTCGGTAAGTATATCGAGAAATCTCGCATGAAATTCAAGTTGACCATTACCAGCGGTATCCATTCCCCCTACAACAAGATCCAAAGCATTGATCCCCTATTCCGCGTTAGCTCTTGTGTGGCAATTGTAAGGGTTATCGGCTATGTGTGGCGGTGAATCGAGTACCATTGTAGAAATGAGAGTAGGATAATGTGGAAGCTTCGCAGCTCTCACTATATGTCGGAGGCGTGACTGTTTCATTACTGCATGATTGAAGTCAGCAAAGGGTTTCTAACATCGGAAACTTCGGGTGCTCACTTGGTTGTCGATGTGGCAGTGGATGGTGTACTTTGCTGCGCGTCTCTCTTGCGTGATTCGTCCACCCTGTCCACAGCAGGTGTGGAACGACAAGATAGTCTGGCTTTGAGGCCGGTCACTTTCTGTCTCCAATCCATGATGTGGAGGTAAATATACAATGTATTGCCCGGTGAGGGTCACAAACAGCACGAGGGACCAGGAATGCTTTATATGTGCCAAATATAAGACCGAGGGGTTATATCTACGGCACTTGCCGTTTAGGCATCAAGCACCTTTTCTTTCGGTTCTGCCCCCTCATGCACTGAATCGAAAACCTTTTCGAGCAAGCCACCTGGCTAATTGAGTGGCCGACAGCCGAGATAGTTGCATCCTTCTTGGAAGAGTGCGGCGATGGGGTGCCTGCATTTCGCCGATTTCATTTCCTAGAGAGCATTCTTGGCCTCAATGTTGACTTCGCCGAGGGTTCCCCTCTTAGACTGCTCCTAAGCACAACAACTGTGGTGGTCACTGCTCTCGATAATTGACGCGAGAATAACCATTAGAATGAGAATGTAATTTACTTTTATTATTCTTTACCTAATTATATTATCGGTGGACCCAGACGCACCCCTACCCGACAAGAGATAGTACATCGTTTGGTGTTTCCGGTAGCACGTTTATGTGTCCCACTGGTCTATCGCAGGCTTTAGAACTTGGCTTTCACTTTCCAGCCCGCACAAATGCCCCTGGCAACAGCAAAAGCGACCGCGGAGGCCGCATACAACACGCCTCCGAAGACAATCATGCCCCAATATTCCCCCTGGTTCTGTTGCTGGATAGCACCCGCGATCGGGATGCCCGTCAATGTACCCACACTGACTATCGTAAATGTCGTCCCGCTCCTCTTCCCTAGATCCTCCGTCTTACAGACTTGCGAAATGCACACGGGGGTGAGACTGATAGCAGCACCGCTCCAAAAGCCGAACAATACCGCATAGCAAATTACTGCGGGCATATTCGCCCCTGATGCAAGCCACAATGCCAGGGTAAGCGCCGCACAGATGATCGACGTTCCTACCATCGCGTTGAACCTTCCGAGCCGATCTGCTACTAAGCCCGGGAGGAACCGTCCTGGGACAGCACCTAAATTGAGAAAGATACTTAGCGCGTATGCGAGGGTGTCATCCATGCCAATATGAACCCCGTAGGATGAGATGTAGGTAATCGGTATGAAGACGGCGAATTCCACTAGGAAGATCGCTATTGTGGTTGCGGCATATTTCTTCTCTCGCAGGGCGCGAAAGTCGACGGATGCGCCAACGCTTTTCTCATTCAGGACCCGTGTTTTCAGCGTCAGACATGATATCAGTAAAAGAACAGCACTGATAAGTGCAATGATACGCATTGCCCAGGGGAAACCAATTCTGGGTGCTGCAAAAAGGATGATAACGGGGAATATGACTCCTCCTATACCCCCGGCAGTGCAGGCGATGCCGGTCGCATATCCGCGTCGCACGTTGAACCAGTGCCCAATGCAGGAAACGGCTGGAATAAAGAGGGCACATGCAGATAGGCCACCAAGGACACTGAATGAGAGGAATATCTGGTAGAATTCTATCGCAACAAGTCAGCATTATCTGTACCACTGCTGTACGGATAACATGTGCTCCCAACCTTGGCTGAAACTAAAGCCAATCAGTGCTATAACCATGCCGATTGACCCTGGAAGAATAACATAGTTGGGTCCATAGGTATCCAATATTGGTCCTGCTATTTATCAGCAGCCACAGAATCCAAGGTGATTGGAAACTTTACTAACCGGTTTGCGCCCCAGCAGCATACAAGAAGAAGCTGTACGCGCCAAATATCCAGCCAATGCTGGACTCGGAATAGTCCTGGAGCTGGTGCTTACTCGTCCATGCATGGAGAATACCCAGGCAATTAAGCAAGCCCATGGAAGGGATCATCGCACACCATGCTCCAAGCACCACCAACCAGGCTTCGAGTCCGCCTTCGGGATATCCGTGCCGCATCGTAGTTTCAACGATTGTCGAAGGAGACGCAGACTCGTCTGTCTCAGTCTTCATGGCAAGAATAGGAAATGGTATGGTACTTTTGCAAGCGAGACTGGAGAGGAAAATCACTCTGGCATGTATTACGCTGGAGGAATTTCCAACGAAAGCTATCGACCTAATGGGAGACCTAGGTGACTGATTTCGGGTGTCAGTGTAAATATCTTTTAAGAATCGCAAAATCGGCGATTATTCAATTTATGGACATCTTCCCCGTTCTAGGCCGACTACAAAATGAGCTTTTGGGGGTATTTCTTACTACTAGCACTTAGCACACCATGGGTACTTAGCACATCATGGAAGCATGTTGTTGATGACCAATAAACCTCGGTGTGCTCGGTCGGTGATTGGTTGTATGTCCGTCTGTGGAGCTGTGCTTCGGCGAAAGGGCAGCTAGACGATTCATCCATTCTAAAGCCCATAACTAATATTGCCATGCGTTAGACCAGACACTCATGCCGGAGTGACCTGTATTATTGCTTGCATGTAGGTCCGGCCACAAATTTACCGGTCAGGGGATCAGTACATGTCATCACTGGGTTCGGCCGACCACACTGCCAAGTCAACCCCATTCTTAGAAACCGCATCAGTATATACCCTTGCTGGCAGAATATATCGTCTGGGACTGGAAATAGATGATGACAGCGACAAGGAAAGCATGTTATTAATGTCAGACCTGTTCTGCCTGGTCGAATCATTCATGTCATCCCCAAATCGGTGACAGATGCGATAGGTGTCCTTCACTCTCCGGTCAAGAGAGAGGTACATCAATGCTGCTGAGAATGGCTCTGGCTGCAAGATAATTCTTCTAGATTCCTATTTTGGTATCCATGGTACGTGTATATATTTAGACGGCGGGAGCGATTCATATGGTAATAAAGGCCTTATACATTGTGGCACTCATTTGTTGTGCACTCTAGTCCACTACATCCCAGGCCGGGGCAGTATTTCTGATACTAAACCTGAAATACATATTATGCCATTTCTGCATATGAGAATGTATCACCGTCCATGCTTATTTTCCCTGGCCAGCATTCTTCATGGTCCACTGGGCAATGTTACCCGGGGGGTGAGCCGTCGCAATGGTCTTGCCAGCGAACTTGCTGATGATGCTAGTGTCAGATCCGGACATGGAGCCGGAGTTACCGAAGGCGTTGAGCTGGCAGGAGCGGCCGAAGACGGAGGCACACTGCTGGTTGGTGTTGGCGTCCGGGGAGCTGAAGAGCTGGCCGCTGATGGGGGTCTCTACCACAGTGTTGACGTCCTGGAAGACATTACCCTCGGCCAGGACGTAGCCACCAGTGCCGATCTCGAAGGCGTGGCCATCGAAGTTGTGGAAGAGGTTGTTCACCTGTCGGCATAGTAGTCAGCAATGTGCAGATGGTACAGGGGGTAAAGACTACATACGGCGTGCAGCAGAGTGTTACCCTGGACCTTAGGCATGCGGCCGCTCAGGTTGTAGAAGTAGTTGCCCTTGAGGGTCACCATGTCGTTGCTGCCGTCCAGGTACACGCCCCAGTAGTGGTGACCGTTGCAGGTGGCAGAGTAGTCGGAACGACCATCAATGAGGGAGTAGGAGATGGTAACGCGGTTGTCGGCGCTGGTGCCCAGGACGATGTGCTGGCGACCAATGCGAGCAGTTGTCACATGGTCGATCCAGACCAGATCAGAGTCATCGACAGTGATGGCATCACCACCCCAGACATACTTGGGGTTGATGTCGGTGACAGCAATGTTCCTGACCATTATTAGCAAGGGTGAATGCACAGCCCACGACCGATGGTCCGCACTCACTGGATGATGACGTTCTTGGCACCGCTGACCACGCGGAGACCCTTGCCCTTGATGACACCCTTGGTGCCCTGTCCAACAATACTCTTGTTGGAGTTGACCGTGATGGGGAGGATACCGGCCTTGTCACTGTACGGCAATTAGCATGGTGAGAGTCTGGGCATCAATCGAACGGGGGCAACATACTAAGTCACGGATACCTTGGGGGCGCTGGCCTGGTAGTTGTCGCACCAGCTGTGCAGGTTGATCGCCACCTGGCATTGGGAAGCAGTTCCCCAGGGGGCACATCCGGTGGTAGTCTCGGTACCCTCGGTGCCGGTAAAGTCGAAGCTGAAAGATCACATATTAGACAATTGTCTACCCCTGTATCCCATCAACGGATCGACCTACGTTCTGTCCAGGATAATCACACGAGGCTCATTATCTCCCAGGTAAGAGACCAGCTCATCAGTAGTCGTGGGATAGACGGGGGAAGCGCTGCCACCGCCAGTGACGCCATGAGCAAAACCCTCGGCGGCGCCTACAACGCCAGCGGCACTGACAGCGCTGGCCAGGGATGCCGCGGCAGCAGCGAAAAGCAGCTTGTAGTGCATGTTGGATTGTCAAAGTATAGAAGATATGGAGGAAAACAAAAAGAAAAATCCGAAAGAATGAAGGTCTTGGGTGTTATCAAAGAATGACAGCCTGGAAAGAGTGACAGGCGTGTTAGAGAAAGAGAGGAAGGTGATGTCTTCTTCTGGATGGCATTGGAGAGGGAACGTTTCCAGGTATATATACAAGCTGGAATACATGATGGTGGAGCGGGCAGTCAGACCGTCGCCGTTTGGTCCCCTCAACCATGTTCTGGAATGAGACGAGGGACCCGGGGACAGGACCTGAAATGGATGAGAACCCAATCTATGTGGCTTGGCAGGCAGGTCTTGGTTTCTTCTACCGGAGATTAACCTGTCAGTGGGTGTGGTGGCTTATATTTTACGATGTTAAAGTAGCGCTACTGCTGCCCAGATATCGCCGGACTCGCGGAACCAACATCTCCAATTTTATCTTCTTGGGTCTACGAGTCATGAAGATTATAATGGGAATGGCCGTAACAAATCAGGAACGGAAAGGCAGCAACAAAGCTTGTTTGTCCAGACGCCGTTGAGAGAACAAGCTGGAAATCTCTTCCCAAGTTCCCAAGCAGACCTTGGGTTCAGGGCGGACCCGGGAACTCCGGTGAAAAACGAGGTCTGCTTGGCGGAGCATAGGAATGGTGAGAAACAGGATAGTGGTCCACTTCAGGATGTCTTAGAAGCAATCCGGCTGGCTTCCGAAGGGGGGTGGAGGTCAGGGTCCCATGAACGGCCCTGACCTATATTATTCAAGGCTTGCTTGGTAGAGGGAGAAAAGTGGTACCGGCAGTCTGACAGTGAGACATTGCAAGAACTGCCCCAAGAGAGGGTTTATTATTCTTGAGTCCCAGTGGAAATTACTCGACGCCAAGAAGCCTCAAAAGGGATTAGCTTGGAAGTTAGTGATAATGCTCGGTCATGTTATAGTTTGTCTTGTTTGTTTAATTGCTTGGGTCACATGATATATATTGGCTTCATGCCTCAGGCATGACGTGTGGCAGCCTGGAATCAGGCATCCATCCACCGCCTCCTCATTTCTCTCCCGACTATTCTCCGAGGAGGTCACATCCATCTCCATCCACCATTCCCTTGACCATATCTCCCGACGCTTTCCTTGTGAATCACACACTGTTACAAACGGATATATATATTCTTTTTCTCTGCGACCAGTAATTGTTGGACTCCAGATGATGCTTGCACACAATGGTGACCCTGCCAATGTTTAGAGGACGTCAACTCGACGGTGCGTACATTCTAGTACTAAACATGAACTGAGGGAACCAGCAATTGTTGTGTAGCAGTGTCTCTACCAGTAGTGCTACTAAGAAGTGGCGTCGGTTTTAGTTTATCCCCATATCTAGAGTCGTCCATCATTTCAGCCCGCGCTGACTCCCCCACGCCGGAAAAGACGGGGTCTGTTAGTTCTACTACTAGTAACCGTAGTAAATATATATTCCCCCGGGGTCATGCTTACAAGTAGCAGCCGGGTGTAGTAGTTCAATTAACTTCATCATTTCCAATCATCCTTCACATTCCCGACTCCGAACCGAGCAAGCAACTGGTAGTAGCACTACTAATTCTATCATCATCATCATCATCATGTTCCATCTCCTCCCCGTTATAGAGGATGACATCTCCTCTATGGTCGAGTTGTGGTACGACGCCTTTGGTGATCCCATCAATCGGCGGCTGTATCCCGATACCCTGGGGGGGCGCGCCTGGCTAGAGGACTATCACCGTGCCAGTCTGCAATCTCCTGATCAACACTATCTTAAAGTTGTCACGGATAGTACCGGGTCGACCTCTCCCCTCGTAGCATTCGTGAAATGGGACTTCAACACCACCTCTCCAGGTCACCACTTTCCCCCGCGCCATGTCGATTTCGACCAGGTCTTTTGCGACACGTTCTTCGGGGGGCTGGACCAGGCGCGACGGACCATCATGGGCTCGCGTCCGCACTATTGTATGCTCCTTTCCTCAATATTCTGTCTTTTTGCTTCTATTCTCTATCATCCTAGTGCCTGTGGTGATGCGCCCGCTAATGATGACACTCCAGATCTGGATGCCCTGATCACCCACCCGGATTATCGCCGGCAGGGAGCGGCATCAATGCTCATCCAGTGGGGATGTGACCGTGCCGATCAGGACGGGATCCCCAGTTGGGTGGATTCCAGTCAGGAAGGGGTCTGGATCTACCAGCGCTTTGGGTTTCGCGATGTCAGTGTATCGGGGGTGACTCCGACCGGCGCCATGTCCATGCTGCGGGATCCCGTTGGTGGTGATGCCGCGTAGTTGCTAGCAAAGTGTGGGATTCTTCATGTATCTAGCTAACCCGAGTAGTTCTATTACCACCATCACTCTCTTACAATGGTTCTGGGCCCTTGAGCGGCTGCATCTCAATATACTCGGTTCGTAGACTCCACTCTCGCGTCTGGTGGATCACCAACCCCCCGCTTGCCTCCAGATTCTCCTCGCACTCCCTCGCTCCCCCGGTCGGGATCATGGTAATCTCATCATCTGCCGGATATGGACGCGATCGGGCCTTGAATTGAGGGCCCTCGCTGGTTTCCGACCGCAGATAGGAGCCATCTTTCTGGCCACCCTGACCCCAGCCCGTGTTGAAGGCGATCACAAACGGCTTTAGGCAGGGCACCGTCGCCGCCATGAGACTGCTGTGCAGGAGCACTTCGGTGGCGACCACCACATTCGATATGCCCAGCAGCATATTGTTCAACCCAACCCGGTTGAGGTAACATTGGCGCACAATGATAAGGGCGACAATCCTTGCCAACGGTCAGCTAATGTGGCCGAGCCATATACGCGGCAACAACAGGCAATGAGTGTACGTACAAAATTCGAGTGCCAAAGGCACCTATCACCCCGGCCTTTTGAGTTCGACGCATCTGCACTCCCCACACCAAACGAATACTCAGGCCCACCAGAAGGGCCTCTGTGATCACATCGAGCGCTGTCATGGCACGCCATCCCGTAACCTGGCTCTCTTAGCATGTATTCTGGTCATCATCCGAATGTGGCAAAGGCAACTGACGAAAGAGTGGCATTGCGTGAGATTCCATGGCTGAGAAGGTTCACATTGAAGTCCTACTGCAAGAAGGGAAGCGAGGAACCAGAGGACGAGTACCGCGAGGCCCACAGTGCAGAGTCGTATATAGGCGCCTTCTCGGCCCAGGCGCCGAAGAAGGAGGCAGACAGATACTTTGGAGGCGCCATGGCTAGCGAGGAACAGGAGATCGGCTGTATACAAAGCCTGTCATGATAACCCCGAGTCAGTAACCAAGACAAATGACGCATCCCGATGAGAAGGTAGAACTTGCCTTCATGGCACCCTCTGCGTCGGTCGGATTGATTCGTCCCAGACCCTGCGATACACTCTTCATAATAGCACCCACATTCCCAATTCCTATCGCCTGTCTCATTGAGATCGATCAATTCAGGCATTCCGAGCGGCAATGAGGTCAGGGTTACTTACTCCACCGATCCAGACTACGACATCATCCCATCCAGCTGGTCCGTTCATGGCAACCCGCATATAGACCCGGAACAAGGACACCAGCACCATCCAAGACATGAACAGCGTTGCGGCGATGACGATCACCCCGCTGCGGTCCGTCGGGCTGATCCCGTAAGGCGCCGCCATGTGTCGACGGGGTGAGGCTTGAGGGAACTCGGGACGATGGACAGAGGCATTGCTGAGGCTCTCAATCTGCCGGGACTTACTTTATAATAGATCAGGCGGCTCAGAGGACAGGGAAGTGATTCCTAGGATCAACAGGTACCCTGGTCGGAATGTCGACTGGGGAGGACAAGAAGGTTAAACAGGCTCAGAAGCGACCACACCCAAATTTTCCGCCGGGCCGTCGGTCGGAAATGAAAGCCAGACGACAATTTTCCATCCGATCCCGGTTCCCAGTGTTACGACTACTGTATATTAGGCCTGACGTGGCCAGGGTTTAGGGAAGGATGGCTACGGTGCTGACTGGCGGTGACCTGCCTTCCTTTGGTAAGGCTGGGATGAGGGCACAACCAACTGACAGGGATCACGCTCCATCGTCTGAGAAGATAATAACCTGTCAGTTGGACGATGTAACGGCGGGCTACAGTCTAACCGGGGTCCCTGGCAAGTGCTTCGGCGGTGCCATCTCTAGCTTGGGGACTAATGCTGCTAACTGCTGCTAGTCTTGCGAGCCACGGCAGAGAGGACCGTGACGCTGCATCTGTCCCACGTATTGATTAACCCTCCGATCCCCCCTTCATCTTTTTGGCAGCCAAAACTTTTGTTCGTTCTTATCGAGCAATACATGTCAAGCAAAGCCAAATCTTAGGATGTGGCTGGAGAAAGGGAGCAAGTCGGTCGCCTACACCACTGCGCCGGAGGAGGGCTCTTTGCCCTCCACCAAGGGAGGAACCACTCAAGATGGCCGCGATATGTGGCGTGTGGGACGCGATCAGGAGTTGAATGTGAGTAGGCACTTGAGAGGTGGCTCCAATTTCGGCTTCCTAGCTGACTAGCACAGCGCAATTTTCGATTCCTCTCGGTGCTGGGTTTCAGCGCCGTGCTGATGTGCACCTGGGAGGCAGTGTTATTGTAAGTCAATGCCGTATGAACAAGGCAGTCCTAACAAAGGTACTAACGATTGAATAGCGGTGCCTCATACGGCTTGACAGATGGAGGAAAAGGTGGAATGATCTACACCTACCTCGGTGTCCTCTGCGGATTCAGTTTCGTAATTCTCTCCATGGCGGAGATGGCATCCATGTGTGATAACCCTCGAACACCGACCTTCTCTTTCATTTCTTTTTATTCTGGGGCTTTAATGATGGCAGCTGTTCCTAGAAAGCGGCTGTTGACTTTGGATAAATAGGGCCCCAACCTCCGGCGGACAATACCACTGGGTGTCCGAGTTCGCCCCGCCCAGTTGCCAGTGCCTGTTGAGTTATATCACTGGCTGGGTATGCGTGCTCGGATGGCATACGGGCATTGCTGGCTGTAGCTACACCGTAGCAAACATGCTAGTTGGCCTCTTAGCAATCAACTACCCAGATTCCTACGAATATAAGCCGTGGCATGTCACGTTGTTGGTGATTGCAGTGGCGTTCGCTGCACTGCTCTTCAACACGCTGTTGGCACAGAAGCTGCCGCTAATCGAGGGGATCATTTTGATTGTCCACTGCTTTGGATTCTTTGGCATATTGATTCCACTGTGGGTGCTGTCTCCGTCGGTTCCACCATCAGACGTCTTTGGATCTATTGTCGACCGTGGCGGATGGGGGAGCAATGGCCTGTCTTGCTTGGTCGGGGTGGTTGGACCAATCTATGCTTTGATCGGTACGTCGCAGATGCCAGAATTAAAAATAAATACTACGCCTTGAAGCAATGCTAATTTGTAGGCAGGCCCTGACTCGGCGGTACATATGTGTATGACCCTCCTGACGGGACAAGTTTTCCTTGATGACAGACTAACCATATAAGAAGCCGAGGAAATCCGCGATGCATCACGCGTGCTACCCCTAGGCATGGTTTGGACGCTTATCTTGAATGGCGCCACCGGGTTCGTCATGATCGTTACATTTGCCTTTTGTGTGGGGGACATCGACAAGGTCATGGCTTCCACGACCGGCTTTGCCTTCATTCAGGTGTTCCTAAACTCGACTGGCTCAGTGCCCGCGGCAACGGGGATGACGGTGGTGATCATGATCATGCAGTTCTGCGCCACGATCAGCAACGTAGCCACTACTTCGCGACAGATCTACTCATTCGCTCGTGACAAGGGCGTTCCATTTTCTAGCTTCTTTTCTCAGGTGGCGTTCCCTGGTGCTTCACCTTTCCTGGCGGGATAATATCGGACTAACCGATAGATTAGGTCAACAAGACATTCACCGTACCACTGAACGCTCTCTGCGTCAGCTTGCTGATTGTTTCCCTTCTGTCCTTGATTAACATCGGATCCTCCGTGGCCTTCAACGCCATCATGTCACTGGGAACGGCGGCCCTGCTTTCATCCTACCTCATCTCCATCAGTTGCGTGCGGCTGCGACGGTGGCGCAAGCAGCCTCTTCCACCGGCCCGTTGGAGCATGGGTCGGTTCACTCCGTTCGTTGATACGGTGTCCCTCTTGGTGCTGATTGTCGTCTTCGTCTTTACCTTCTTCCCCCTGACTAACGACACCGCACCTTCTGAGTTCAATTGGGCTATTGTCATCTTTGGCGCCGTTGTGGTGTTCGCTTTGGTATATTATGCCCTCTATGCTCGGAAGGCATACAAGGGGCCGGTGACGAGGGTGCGGGTGGCACAATAATGGGTATACAGACAGGGGCGGGTGGACGATTGAGAGACAAGAGGGTGTAAATGGTAACAACTAAAACCAAAAGTAGATGAATTTGTGCAAATGGCCGTTACAACCGAAGTGAAGAGCTTGGCACCTTAGCCACTCCGGTGGCTGTATCAGATACACTTATTTACAGCGCGGAGGCTAACGCTCCTTTGAATTCGAGGTGGAAAAGACCACCAATTAGAGTGGCTGGCTATTATCGACTGAGCTATCCTGCGTCGACCTAACAGAGCTCTCAATGCTCACAAAGTGAAAAGTCGCCTTTTTCAAACCCGTCATTTTGCGGCCCTTGTTTGGCTCGTCTCTCGTCCATCAGCACCACCCGGTATTCCCGGGCTTCCTCCAGGGTCATGGCAAGCGCGGGGATGTTATCAGACACCATCTGCTGTAGTTCAGCCGGTAATTTCGGCGCAAGCACCTGCTGAATCGCATCCCGTCTCTCGCGGGCCCAGGTCTCTTGCTGCGGTGGTACATTTGCGGTGGAGATGATGCGCCGATGCGGGTCCACCAAGAACAGCGCCAGGATCTTGCGATGGCCCGGTCGCGAGCGGTCTGCCAGGCCAAAGGGTGACACCCGATGCTGCACTATATTGGGAAACGTAAGTAGTCGCCCTTCGCGACAGACCACGCTGCCAAGGTGCTGGGTGATCTGGGATTCCCCATTTCCGCTCACGTCGGGACTAAAGCCATAGACTGTGTGGATGAATTCATGTCGATCTTGGTCGTAATCCACATCGTACAGAGACCCAGCCCGTTGACGAAAGGACAGCGTGCTTTCAGTGATGTTATGGCTGCCGTAATAGTAGATGGCTGTCGCACATATGCGTTCATTCTAGTCCGAGTATATGTTAGTGGATTCAAAATATCCTCATGACTCCCAGAATTATAATGCTTACTAGCTGTCCCTCGAGATGCCATGATCCTCCCTCATAATCTGGCCGCTCCGGAGTGAGTTCAATGTTAGCCAATTTTACGATCACTTGCAGCCCCGTCTCGTGAAAAGACTGTCGCAAGTGCACCCATCCTTTCCAGGCGGGCTCGGGGGGTCTGAAGCGGCCTGGCTCCGGAAGAGCAATGGGACGAGCCTTTTCCCACGCATAATAGCGCTCAGAAAACTCCTCACTGTCCGAGTCCTCATCTTCCTCGGGCTTCGGTTCTGGGTCAGGGTGTAGCAGATAAGACACCCCGTGGTAGGGAATGCGCTCGTTTCCTTCCTCCCGAACCTGCGTCAAGCTGTGTTCCCAGAGCGGAATGGCCGCATCAATGATCTGCTCCACCACGCGGTAGAGGGGCTCATGCTCTGTCGGGTGCAGGTTGTTGATGTACGAGACAATGCGACAGCCACTTTCTGTGCCCAATTCCACGTCGCAGGGCAGCCATTGAAATTGTCGGCTGAACGCGCGCATTTGCTCCACCTGCCATCTTCTGTACGGAGTGTTTGCCTCGGCGGATGGCCTGGCCTCTTCCTCCGACGGAACGGGCACGACCACTCCTTGACCAATACTGCCGAGACTGTTGTCCGACGTGATCAAATGATCGGGTAGAATGCGCGTGCGCCCGTAAACCAGTGGGAAGAGCGAAGGGTGAACGAGGTCGACAACTTTCTGGTCTGAGCCGGGGTGGTAGTCCTTTTCATGGGCCGGTATGTTCTCGAGGGGAGCAACGGCTTGCTGCAACGCCTTTTGAAGCTCCTTCGAAACGGCTGTGTCGGAGCGGACGACCCCGACATCAAATATCGAAAGCAGTCCTTCTTTCTGAAGGTTTCGAGCTTTCCATTGGAGTTCTACGATGATATAGTCCATCATTTGAGGAGTCACGTCTTGACCGGATGCCAGCACCTCCGTCCGCCATCGTGACGTGATGCCTTCGTCGAACACCTTTTCTGCATCAGTCTAATGGCAAGACCCAATGTATCGTTAGAAGGGGTCATACCTTACGCCACCATTCGGGCTTCTCTGAGATCGTATTCATGACCTGCATCATGGTTATTTCACGCTGAGTGCTTAGATGACTGCAGAGTACGCGGTTAGTTTCGCCCATTTTGCTGGATAATACGTAGCAATTCGGGGAGTCTTACCCAACGTAGCCATCATTGATATCTCCATAGTCTAATGCGTTGGGGAAAAGCTCCGTTTCCTAAGAAGAACGAAGTGTTATGTTCTGCCCCGGGCACCATGTGGCGGGGATGACAGATATTTACCTTGGGCTGCCAGTTCAAGGGAAGGTTAAATCCTGGCAGTTTGATGGGTGAACTAGGCTTCGAACCCATATTGGCCCCGTGTATTGTTTGCTTGATGTCTGACGGAGTGAGGGAAGGATACATATTGTATTATATAAAGTGAGTCACTATTCAGAAGGTCTAGGCAGCCGTCCCGTTAGGCAGACCTCGGCGACTAAGGCAACTAAGTCACTAGTGAGTAGTAGGCTGTTGCCTGTGCGCTAAAGAAACCTGGCTGTGGCGTTAAGGTCCCTTGTGTCTCGCTGTCCCACTCTATGCGAAAACAGCGCCGCGCCCTACATCAATGATCTATCCTGAGTCGGAACAGTCCGTTATTGCATTATATTTATCGTGCCCGGCTATCGTGGAACGAGGTATGAGAAGACCGTGGAAGAAATGCGGGAGATGGGCTGCGACTTCCGACGTAGCCTTGAGCCATGCAGCCAAGTCAGGTGTAACCTACAGGAACCGAGTGAATAATCGCCATTCTGAGGGGGATTCCATGATAGCAAGATGTACCCTATTCTCGCATTATGGAAGCGATGCGACCGTGGGGCTTGATGATTCTCTCCGTTGCCGTGGCCTTGGACCCACGGCTGCACCGATACGGGGGGGATATCCTGGCGTTGCGCCAGAGTGTCGGCCGGCCAATGGTCGATTCAGCTCTCTGTAAATGCTCGAAAGTGGCCGGCAACGTGTTGCCAATGTGGTCAAACTCCTACAGAAATTGGGCGCTCTAGCCCGTCTCTTGCGCAGCATGCGAGAATCTGCCTCATGGACAGCAATAACGTGGTCGTCATACTGGAGTAGCTACCGCTGCAAAACGAGCCACTGTCGAAGGTTCATATCAAAGACAGAAAGAATGGTGATGCCCAGTTCAGTTGTGCCCTGACAGGTGGGTATACAGTATTGGGCGACCGCAACTACGTGATGCTGGTCTATGAGCAATTTAGAAAAACAAGAACCGGAATCGCCGGCTGGCCCCCGAGGTGGCTGTGGTTGGAGACACCGTCGCGACGGAGACACTGGACGATTCCTTGCTCGGGAGAGTGGCAGATGGGGAGCTGGTGCCGGTCACAGCTGTCACCGTAATGACTGCAGAAGGAGTGGGATAAACGGTGAAGCTGGATGCCATCGTCGTTTCCGGGCCGCCACCTGGGCCTTTGCCTGGACCATTATCTGGGCCATCCCCGAGACCACTACCAGGGCCATCGTCTGGACCACTCCCAGAGTTGTCGCCCGAATCGCTGTCCCCATCCCCATCATCTGTGTTGTTGTTGTTGTTGTTGTTGTTGTTGTTGTCGCCGCCGTCGACGGCATCGCCCGTGATATAGGTCTGGTGAACGGACCAGAAGCCATTGCCTCCACCTACATGCGTCGCAATTTAAGTGTTAGTGATATGAGGTGCCTTAGAGTGATGAGCATGGAATGGCGACACTTACAATGGTCCTCTGGAAATCCTGGGCAGTTGACATTGCACTCTGACTGGGAGACGAGCTTCGCGCTCGGAGGCAGCGAAGAGCCACAGTAGCAGTCAACGCTATTTGTGGTAGCAGCGTATCTCGCACCATTGCGACCGCAAGTACTTGTGCATAATCCCGTGGATTGAAATTGACTGGAGCCCTTGTTCACCAAGCTGCCGGAGGATGAGTAGCAGCCCACGAAACCGTTAGATAGAGCGTGGGCGGAAAGAGAGAGCGCCAGAATGGCGGAGAGGCTGGTAACCTTCATGGTTGGCAGCATAAAGAATAACTCGTGGGTATTCCCCAGTAGCAAAAGAATGAATGCTGGTTCCGCCAGGAGAGAGGAGAAATAAAACGAGAGAATTGGCGGATGAGGGGGGTGTGAGAGGATAGCGAAATGCGACAGCCAAGTGTTTTAAGGGACTCATGAACAGCGGACCCTGAAAAGACCCTGCGATCCTGGTCCATCCTGTGGGTGAATTTTTGGCTCCCAAGCAGCCTGGGAAACACACTAACTGCACTAGCTTTGAAACCCGACGTATCAACGGCCTGCCCTGATCGGAGAAGACCCACGAGCCTCGGAGAAGTCTGCTTGAAGTTGGGTCGGAGAGCCCGAGTCGAGTTTGGCCTGGGGGTCCAAAATTTCCACCAAGTGGGAATGATGGCTTATCACTTCACGTATTGTTTACTCTTGGGGACAACATCGCGCGAGGTATCATCCTGTTATGGCGAGTTTCCAGCTTAACCCTTTTTGAGTTCTTCCGAACCATGGGTTAGTCCCCACCGCTAGCCGGTCTCCCGCCGGCCTGACAGCAGGGGAAAATGAAGAGGAATGATAGATGCGCAAGTCCACGACGTCCCGACTACATTGAAGTAAATTAGAGCAATCGTTCGTAACATCAACGCTGCTCTTCTGTGAGAGATCTCTGGTCTTCCTAGGATTAAATAAGGAATAATTACTGTTAAACATCTCTGGGTTAACGGGCAATGAGAGACCGTGTGGCCTTTTTCATGGTCTGCAGTACAGGACTTCATCGTTCCAGACCCATGCTTTGGACAGACTGGTGGCCCAGTGGACCTTCCGTTGGGGACCTTAAAGTAATTATGATCATGTTATGAAGCCGGAAAGTGATTTCTCGTACTTCTGAACCGTTCCGAGGCACCAGATGTTGAGGTCATTATGAGCGAGGAGGCCGGGATTCTACTCACATATAAAACCCAACCATAATACAAAGAGTTCAATTAAACAGCATCTTTAGCCGCACGATCGATATAAAATGCAGGATCCTAATCCAGATTGGCCATATATTGATGATGAGCGTTATGCATATCCACTGTATAAGAAGCATCCATTCTGCTACATCTGTTGCAACCTTCTTTCATGCAACCCGTCGGAGTACTCTCCTGGTCGCCACGCCTACTCCAAACCAAATGCTGGGCAAATATCGTACTCAGCCCGTGAGATAGATGATTTTTACACCTTCACTTTTCCTGGATGGCGCACCCTGTACCGGCTCAGTACGTATCCTCGGGCAGCAAAGATAAGCACCTTATTTGGTTCACTCTAACTTTTCCAGTCATGTTTAACCCTAAAACGCGATGCTACAGGATATCCGGGATCGCTCAGAATTACTGGCCGTGTAGCACTTTTCACGCTCCGTGGAATGAGAATAACGGGCTCCTGTCTGTCGGAAAACACAAGAGAATCTGGCGCCATGGGCTGGCGGCACCTAAGCTGATTCAACCCAAGGTGAATATCGAGAAGCAGACCACCCTGGCTGGATATATGGTGCACGCTATGTGCTGGAGAGAGCTGCTCCGGGTCATTAAATGGCCGCATACAGAAGAAAATCTAGGCATCCTCTCGCATGCGCTGCGAACACGCTGCATGAAGGAACGTTTAGATATCAGTTATGACGAGCCCGTGGAATCGCAGCTACTGATGGATCCTAGAGGTGAGTATTCATATACGCAATCTGTAGTTTTGATGAGATAACACGCTAGACAATCCAGATCCCATCGGTATGACATCTGTTCGACGATTTGTAACTCGATGCAGATCTAGAGCTACCAGGATGTCAAAGGTGAGCCATACATCATGCTCTACTGATTCATGGCTCATCCGTCTTCCGTTGGAGCTGCAATACATGATCATGGATAATCTTGAGTTTGACGATGTAGGCTCGGTGCTGAAAGGCATCCAATGGTCAGTAGACAACGGATATTGGAAACGGCGGCTTAATCTAGACCTGTTCAGCGAGATACGCGGCATTTTACATGAGGATTTGGACTGGCGGTGGCTCTGTTTGAAACTGGAGGTTCTTGAACACAGTCAAGCGGGGACAGATAGAAAGCGATTTTATGAAATACTGAAGGAAATCGGGATTCGGTATGGACTGGTAAAGGCTGATGTGCAGTGTGGTCTTATTGGAAGTCGTCCCCATGCTCCATGAATGTAGGGGATGATAACGAATAACCCTCTTTGTTGTTCAAGCCAATGACCGCCACCTAATACCACCAGAATCTGGCCATATGTTTGTTTGTTACGGAGTGTTGTCTTGAATCTTGGACTATTACGAGGGGAAGCAATGCGCATCCACAGTTACTTATATGGTAGCCGCGCCGACAGCTGAAATCTTTCCCCACCGTGAGCATAGTGGTCTTTTTTGCAATTTGAAAAATCACCTAAGACTTGCCTGAGAATCAAAACAGGACAGTTCAGAAGGCAGTGATCCATGATATGAGACTAGAGGCCCTCTTACAAAAGCAATATAGTACCAGTGGCAGCGTATCCACCAGGAAGGCTGTTATATCGCCTGGCAGCCAAGGGTTACGCTGGCCCATAATGACATGAGTATCTTCATTGGCATTGGGTAAAGGCGTGTGCAGATCCCTGAACCCCTAGCGACGGTGCCACAGTTATCTTCTGTATCTCCCGCTTCTCCAACTGTGAAAGGTCCGTCCGAAGATTGTTCCAATCAATCAGCTCACCTTTGGGAACGGTAAACTGACCTTGTTTTAAAGAATAGCATCCCTCATGAAGTGTTACTTCTAGAGGATTGTATGAAGGACTTCAAATAGAGTATCCAGTCAAGTGGCCGTTCCGTGACAGTGAATGCTGATCATTGGAATCTCATCAGAGTCAAGATTTTACCCTCAGCTAAAGTTCACTGCTCAACACGTGGACGTTGCCTCAACTTTTGTACCACAGAATACGCCAGAATAGGAACGTAGTGTTTCTTCATTTCTTTGTGCTTCTATGCTTAAAGCATAATCCTACTTTTTACAGTTGCGCCTTCGGGGGCCCTTGCGTGGCGTGAGACCTGTTCCTCTTTATATTTAAACTTAACCAACCCAGGTAGTTGTCGAGGACTAACAAAGACAACTCTTCGAACATACACCGATCTTCCAAAAAGCCACCACCAAAGCATTGAGCGCCTCTATAACCAGCTCCATGAACAGCACGGACTGCAAACCCATACTCAACGTAAGAAACTATTTGGAACATACTTCGCTTGTGTGGAATGCTCACGTCTTTCCGAAGATACCCCCGCATGCGTGAACAACACTAGTCAGGGGCGAGGCTTGGCTGCATACGCGATGTGACAGTCACTCCATACGAGACAAAAGCACTGAGTTTATGAATGGAGTATGGAGTAACAATAATTACAGTTTCTTTGAAGGCACCCACGAGCCAAGACACTACGCACCTATCAAGGAACCATTGCTGCTCCCTGATTTCCCCTTCCTCCGTCAACTTGCTCCTTGTGCATAATGCCCTACGACGAAGATGAACTTGCGTACTCGAGGCTGTCTTTTCCTGATCCTCTCTCTTGGCTTTGCTTACGGGCGGGCCTCTATCACTCCAGGCGTTACAGAAATCGACTTGATCTTTCCGCGTAACGACAGCTATTCCCCGTCGCCTCTCACTCCGATCATGTTTGCCATCCAAAACCCGAGTCTCCTGTTAAGTTTCAACCCGACGATCTCCTATAGCATTGAGCAGGAAGATGTCGAAGCCAAAGAAAGTTATATTACCTCGGGCACGATCCACCTCGTGAACACCAATTATACGAGAAGTGACCCTTACTTCCTCTATTGGAGCGTCGGGAATCTGGACATTGAAGGCACCTTCGTGTTTGCCTGGGAGCTTCGGATGTTCAACTGCTCCCATTCCCCGCAGAGTGACGCTTTGACCTTCGGATATCTTGACACGCTCCGCCATCAGTTGCACTTCTCGATAAAGAATGGCACTTCGCCACCAGACATCGCCGCCGCAACCAAGGATAGTACGTGCGAGCAGTCTATAGCCCAGGCTATACAAGTCCCAGGGTTGTTGGACGTGTCGCCTACGCGAACCTGGGGAGCACCATCCTGTGCACCGACTGTGGGCCCATCCCCGACTCCCAGTCCTTGCGAGGTCAAGATCGATTCCACAGCTGCCGCAAGTATCTCCTTGGCTTTGACTTCCAGTGCCTGTCGTAATCCTCTCCGCACCGGGCTCAGTTGCCCAACTCCATCCCCTGAGAGTAAGGCCCCCGCGACGCAATCGCCGGTCGGAGGGTTCCGGATCTTGGCAATGGGAACGCTTCTCGCTTACAGTCTTGCATGACTAAACGGACTTTCGTGCCGAGGCATGCTGGTATTCTCTTGAATGGATAATGCAAGTTGTTTAGAATCAAGAGAAACTATTACCATATCCATTATGCCCCTTTTCGGAATTCTAAACTATTTTACTCATAAATATAGCACAGGGGAGTCCCAGCCGTGGTGTCCAGCACATCATAAATCTCTCGCGAGACCGTCAGGTTACCCATGTAGAGAAGGTCATGAATAGTAGCGTTGGGCGATGCAATCAGACCATCAATAAAGTCGGGTCCCTTGACGACGTACGTGCGGTTAGCAGGGTTCAGGTTCTGCCAGATCCAGAAGACGCGATCAATCATAGCGTGGTGGACATAGAATGCCGGATCACCGGGAGAAGCGTACAGATCCTGCAGAGTTGAGTTAGCTCCATCACATCGCAAGTGAAAAATATGCAACTTACACCACCCGGATCACCACCAATGGTGAAGTGACCAGCCGTGTGAACGCCCAGGAAACCTTCCTCGAAGAACCCTTGCATGGTCCACTCGAAGCAGGAGATGTTATCGCACTCCTCAATTAGGCTCGTGACATCACTAGTCTTGGTCCAGCCCAAAGCTGTCCAAGGAGAGATATCACGACGCAGGCAACGGGGGTTGTAATCCAAACCGCTGCCGTTCTGGGCTACGAGGCCAGGGATCTGCAGGGTAGGATCAACCGGTCCCAGGTTGACGGTCATGCTGATTATCCACGGTTAGAATTCAATCTCAGAGTGAGCTAACGGAGAGGACTCTTACTTTGCGAAGGGGCCGTTGCGGACACAACCTCCACCCACACCCGGCGGGATGGTGGTATAGTCAGTCGCAGGGGTGCCGTTGTGGGGAACGAAGTCACCGTTGCCAGACATACTGTACTCGGTGCCGTCAAAAACGGGCGAGTTGATGGGGTTGGCGGCGTACTTGTTCCATGCCCAGTATGGCTGGTAGCCATCGTAGCCACACTCTGTACGCAGAGCATTCTCATAGGCCCAGGTGAAGTAGCGGTGCCAGGTGAGGAAGTTGCCCTAGGTAGTAATGTTAGCAGTGTTTCAATCGGTCTTGCTTGGCAGTCACTACACACCGTGCCGTGGATATACAGCGTCTGATTAATGTGAACCGCCACGAAGTCATCATAACGGTTGCGGACACCAGGAGCCCAGTTCGGGTCAGACTTGGGGGGCTTCGACATCAAGCAGAGGACAGCATCAGTGTACTTCTTGCGGTCCTCCGGCGCGAGGGAGCCCCTGTATGAGAGGTATTGTCAGCTTCGAAGCCGGAGAAATAGTCGATACCAGTGGCTTTTACCATTCCTTGCGAACAGCCGCATTGTTGATGTTGCAGCTGGAGTTGGAAGAGCCCTCAGCCGCCAAATAGGCACGCTTGGTGGCCAAGGCCTTGCTAGCCAGCACATCGACAGCATCTTGCGTGTCTGCCGACACAGGAGTGATAGTCAGGGCTGCAATAGCAGCAGATAGGAAGGAGAGACGCATCCTGCTTGTCGGTGCAACTCGCTGGACCAGGGGAGGACTTGGTGTCAAGCTGGAGTCGTTCAAGAGGGACACCCGGTCCGCCTCGACCTCTATATACTGCTTTTCTCCCCACCACGTGCATAGCTGCAGGCCAATTCAACGGCTATCGGCCCATTTTGGCGAGGTGCCATTCGGAAGTCGGAAGGCTAGCCCTCAGACGATTGGAATAATAGATTGCACGCCGTGGGCGCGGTCTAGTCCATGGCTAGCAGTGTTTTCCCCTAGGCGTGGTGGGGAAGGCTGAGCAGTAGTGTAGTCTTGCAAGTTGGCCATTGGGCCGTTGAAGGAAGGGTTAAAATAATGAGCACGCTAGCAATTGGGGAAACTACTCCGGAGTAGACTGCTGGCAGGTGTTGACAGTCTAGAATGATGCCAACGATACTAATCCGCTTCGTGGCGGACCGGCGCGTCTCTAAGCGAGGCCAAGTGGGGACTAAGGACAGGGTTGAATGACCCACGACTGACAGGCTCAAAGGGATTTATTTGGCTTTGTGGGGTGCATCGAATCATCACAACCATATGCGCTATTCAAGAAATCCTGATGTGTAGTGCTGTGAATAGATATTGAAGCCAGGGTTATCTTTGCATGACAAGGATCCACCACCATCCCACGCGTGGCAACGGAGAAAACTGCCACACGAGGCTTTGGATGTGGATACATCGTTTGAAACCGGCTTTGCTGCCAAGAGACCCCGTTGGAATCGGGGCAGCCGCCGGAAGAGGTCCGCGGAGCACTAGAGAACTGGTCGTGTAGTGGTGACTGGAGATTTAATCTTGAGATGCTCCGTGAGAATCCCCACCGTCAAATATAGCCTCACCGGGTGGAGCTCGCCAATCTCCGACCCTCCGAACTGCCTCCGATTTCCCGCTGGGTTGCGTCCCTCGAATGTTCATTCTCTGGTCTGTGAGTCGGCTCCTCCCCCAGAGTGATCGTCGCGATCAGCTCCCTACGTACCAGCGTCTTCCACATGGAACTCCAGTGATAGGCAGTGTGAGCTTATTGGCAGATCAGTGGCTTGAGAGAAGTGTTTCTCGCATCACTGCTATTCTGTAACCTTCGCAGTGAATTTTCTTATTGTGCTACTATGCCGTGTGCAGAACGCCGGAGATTATCGCTTACTCCGTCAGCACCCAAACCCTCTTCGATGACACTAAATTCCGCGACACCCCTGCTAGTCGCCTAGAGATTCCGTAGCGTGGCTCCATTCTGACTTTTCTGAATCTTGACGTTTGGGTAAATTAATCTATTACCCTTCCGCCCGAAACTCGGCGCTGATACGACTGGTGGGATGTCGTCCTCTCCATCCGAAATGCCAGGGGTATTCATTTGTAATAGACTCCCAGGAACCAAAGCCTCCTTCGGGACCCAGGCGCTATTTCTGCGAGTGCCAAGCCGGCCTTTGGAGACTTCCACAGTTTTGTGCAGCGATGACAGATCTATCGAAAGTAGAAAAGGCCGCTGCAAGGCATCCCCGACACGGGAACACGGTTGCGTCGAGCTTCAGTCCGTCCTCCGTGACAGGGCCAGCAGTTCGCGGCCAGCATGACTCCTTTTCCCGGCAGAGCCGGTGACCCACGACAGATACTTTGGCTTCGTGATGAGTCGGGTGGCTCCAATGCCCCTGGAATTCTCGCGGCAGTTGGCACATTGACCGGCCTGTCAACATTGGTACTGTGGCTCCGTTGCTATGTGCGAGGGTACCTCCTGCGACGATTCAACGCAGAAGAGAACATCATTACCGTAGCGTGGGTGAGTCATTTGTTTTATTCCATCGCTCCTTCGAGTGCTTCCTAACTTACAGGTAAAACAGCTGTGCGCCGTTGGTGTGCTAGTCTGTTTTGTGCTGGAAGCTCAACACGGTGTGGGCCGCTTCAGCAAAGACATCACCGATGAAGATGAGCAAGTCTTGTCTAAGCTGGTATACTATCATTCAGTTATTGTCATGGTCGGGCTTAGTCTTGTGAAAATTTCCTTGGCTGTATTCTTGCGACGTTTCTCGTCAACTCTTTTAAGCAAGGCGCTAGTTGGATCGATCAGTGGGTGCACCTTCGCAAATGCTCAAGGCTATGTTCTGGGTGATAGCAATCTAATAAACGGCAGTTTTTCTGGTGGCATTTACCATTGCCTGTGGTCTTACGCTGATTCTGCAATGCATTCCTGTAGCGGCAGCGTGGGATACAAGCTTGCGACCTCATGCCCGCTGTTTCGACAATGATACTTATACAGCTATTGGCCTCTGGAACAGTAGTAAGTTTGGCATCACCTTTCGGATGTGCAATTTCACTTTTCAAGATAATGTATCTTATCACTTGATTAGTTACGAACCTCGTCACCGATGTCATCTTCGCAACTTTGCCAATTCCCCTTTTTATAGGGATTCAGGTCAACTGGCGAACCAAGTTCTCGCTGATAGGAGTGTTGAGTCTTGGATACCTGTCAGTCATCTCTACTCTTTCTCCAATTGTGGGTTGCTGACCGTCGACTAGTGCCTGCGTCGCTGGAATTGTAAAGATCATTTCGCAGGTCAACGTACTAAAAGAGCAAAACATGTATCGGTAAGAGTTCCCACAGGACTACCCGACAAAAAGTGCAATCTTCTGGAGCTAACCATCTAAGACACGACACTTTCATGATTTGGAACTGGTGGGTGACTCCTGAAGCCCAGACTCCGGAGAAAACTAACTTGTCATCTCTAGTGCGGAGCTAAATGTCGCTATTCTCGCCGCCTGCCTCCCTAGTCTCAAGCCTCTACTGAAATCGGTCCTCGATGGGACCCGCAGCCTGACCACGGGGCGCCGCAATACCTCTGCCTACCGCTACGACACCCAGGGATATTACGTTCAGCGCAGCACCGACATTGCCATGAAGTCAATGCCCCGAGTACCACCGACTGTCTACGATGTCACAGCTGCAGGAAGCTCCGACGGCGAATCCGGGAACTGGAGAGAAAGTGACGAGCAGAGGCTGCATCGGACTGAGACCGGCATCATGAAAACGACGGAAGTGGTGATCCAGACACATGGAGACTAATATTGTTTCATTTGTACATTTCGGCCTTCTGAATATTACCCGGCTTACATTCGGCTTCCTGGATCCTTATTCAAGCCCTACTCCATGTGTACTGGTAGACCCCAGTCTAACATTTTGCAAGCGCAAGTCTCAGTAGCAACCCGAAAGCTCGACGTATAGGAAATTCCAATTGAACAATAAATCTCGTCTCTCATGTGTCGCCAACCGATTAACGGCACTAACTATCATATGTTGGAACGTCTACTTGTAGGAAGCAAGAAGTGCAGAGAGTTATGTGTTTTATATTCCTATCTAGGGATTATACAGCGAGGCACATAGAAGTAGATATACTTAGTATATAAAAATTATATAACTAAGTTTACTAGTATTACTATTTTAACACAGCCCCTTAGGTAAGGGAGTAAGAAATAGAGTGGTTAACAGCCAGAATAGGGTAGGTTAATGGAAAGATTTATGTAATATAATAAAGATTCTTATTAATCTGCTACTGATTCCTTAAGAATCAGTCTATTCTGTGGATATAGACTACCTTATTATCCTTAGATGAATCTATAGTGTCTCGTGGCTGATTCCTTATCTAGTCAACAGGCTTTCTACCCTGACAAGTAGATCCTATCACATTAAATTATTAGATTAAAAACTATTTTATATATATAAATATTTTTTATAAATAATCATTTTTTACTACTAGTACTACTACTATATATCCTAAAAACCATACTTGAGATATATAAAATTACTTATCTAGAAAAGAACATAGGGGCCCGAGGGGGTGCGTGAAGAGGCTTATATAATAATAAATCATGGTTGGTAAAAGTTATCTAGAGTTATAAAAAAGTTATTAAAAGTTATTAAAAGTTATTAAAAGTTATTAAAAGTTATTAAAAGTTATTAATCATTAAATAAAAGAGTCATGTAATTACCCGGATTTAGTAAGGTTTTTTAGATTATTTACTATTATTTAAGAAATAAATATCAATGTCAATACCTTTATATATAAGTTTAAAATTATTTTATACTTATGTTGTATATCGCGGGAAGATTATAAAATTATATATAATTATATATA